AATTAGTTTTAAAATCAAATTAAATTAGTTTTAAAATCCAATTAATATTAATATTAAAATAAATTAAAATTAGTTATAAAATCAAATTAAATGGTATATTTTTTGAAACCAAAATATTATGTAATATAATATTAAAAGTACGATGCTATAATAGAAAATAAACAAAAGTATGATGTTATAATTGTTGGATTAGTATCTAAGCCCGTAATTATATTTGGTATGTATTTGACCCGGTTGTGTATGGTCCATTTGTGCTGCCGTCACCAAAGCAACTAGATAAGATAATTTATGGAGAGAGAGAGAGAGAGAGAGAGAGAGAGAGAGAGAGGTTATTATGGTTTATTAATATATTATATGAATAATATATTAAAAAAGATAGTTGAATTAATTTTATTCAAAAATTAATTAAGAATTAATTTTTGTGGATAAAAGAGATTAATTAAATAAAGGAGACTGACACTGTCGATTATAAGATAATTGATTTTGGGCTGTGAATCATTATGGATATAAGGGGGACGAAATATAGAATGGAATCCCACTCTGATTTCGTCTAAGGGGCCTTATTCCAGAAGGTTCTTAAAGCTACTTAGGGCCTAAGTTATCTAATTAAGGTTTTGACTGAAACCCTAGCAACTCAGCTATTTAAGGGACCCCAGGGCTATAGATTTCGGCTAACCAAGAAACCCTAGAGTTCCTAAGAGTCGAAATTGTGCCTCTCTCCTTCTCTCTTTTAAATCATCTTCTTGCCTTGGTGTTTGTAAGCCATTAGAGGTATTACACTTGTGATACTACGCTCTTGAAGATTGAAGATTCTTGCAACTATTGAAAAGTATCATCTAAACTTGTTTTATTATTGATCTCATTTTCATTGTATGCAAGATTTGGGTTCACAAGCTTTGGATAAATTTGCATGTACAATAGAGAAACCTAGATCCAAAGCTCTAGGGTTTTGCATGTGCACATAGGATGTTTTTTTGCTCAAAACCCATCAGTGGTATCAGAGTCTTGCTTGGTTTCCATTGTATTTGATGCATGGTGTATTTATTCATTGCTTAAAAGCGAATTTTATATTATCTGCTTGACAAACTCGTCGGTCCCTATGAGGTACTCGACGAGTAGGATGAACTCAACGAGTCCTGGAAGGGACTCGGCCAGTCGGGATCTCAGACATACAAATTTTTGGGATTTTGGCTTATTTTGACTTGGGATAATTACAAAAATTGTTTTTGATTAATAAAATCAGAATTTTATTGATTCTATGTGATTATCTTAGTCAAAATAAAAGATTTGTCATTTAATTAGATAATTATTGTCTTATATGATAAATCTTAATTATTTGAATTATTTGATCAATTATCTTGTATGTAATTAGATTAGGTCAAAATTAGATAACCAATTAATTGTTTATTTTTGGGCCAGAAATTGTTTATTTGAATATTCGATTTATTTTTGGGCCAGAAATTGTAGTACAATGAATATAGGACCGATCTAACTCAATAAATGTACCATACACGTTTGGGCCAGAAATTATATCACAATGAATGTCGGATGACCAAAAATTGTATCACAATGAATGTAGAACTGGTCAAACACAATAAATGTACCATACACGTTTGTATCAGAAATTGCATCATAATGAATGTAGGATCGGTCCAACACAATAAATTTAATTGTATCACAATGAATGTAAGACCGGTCCAACTAAGTAAATGTACAATACGCAATTGAGCCAGAAATTATTTCACAATGAATGTAGGACCGGTCAAAGACAATAAATGTAATTGTATCACAATGAATGTAGGACCGGTCCAACACAATAAATGTATCATACGCGTTTGGGCCAAAAATTGTATCACAATGAATGTAGGACTGGTCCAACACAATAAATGTACCATATGTGTTTCGGTAGAAATTCTATCACAATGAATGTAGGACCGATCCAACATAATAAATGTAATTATATCACAATGAATGTTGGAATGGTCCAACACAATAAATATACCATATGCGTTTGTGCCAAAATTTGCATCACAATGAATATAGGACCGGTCCAACACAATAAATGTATCATACGTGTTTGGGCCAGAAATTCTATCACAATGAATGTAGGACCGGTCCACAACAATAAATGTAATTGTATCAAAATGAATGTAAGACCAGTCTAATACATTAAATGTACCATACACTTCATCGACTTGTACCTTAGTCAGTGAATTTTGTACGGCCCAAACGCTCCAAGAACCGGGAAAATCGGGCACTAGTATATAGGGTTGTGCAAAAAAACCGCAAAACCGAATATCCGAGCTGAACCGGCCAATCCGAAACCGAAAAAACCAAAACCAAAAAAAAATCGGATATCAACGGGTCAGTTTTTGGTTATCATATTTAGGTATCCGCGGATACCCGAACCGAACCGTTTGATAATATATATATATATATATATATATATATATATATATATATATATATATATATATATATAATCATTTTATTTATTTTAAAAAAGTGATTATTACATATTATTGAATTAAATATAATTGAAAAATACCATCTAATTTAACTAGAAGTGTATTTTAGTGAGTTAATATAGATTTAATAATGGAAATTTGTATATTTTAAGGAAAATTGTATATTTTAAGGGAAATAGATTCCATTCCAGTAGAATGTTGTAAGTTTCATATACCCTGTTTTGCTTTTATATCTCTCGTTTAGTTCCCAACCAAGAAAACGAAGAACATTCGTGTTCTTGATTTCATGTATACCTGCAAATGAGAAATACAACCACTCATTATTATTGCTTAATCTTCTTTTCATAGCAATTTCAAGTAATAAGCACCACATCGAATTCTATCAATCAAACCAAACAATTTCCTATAAGCATTAACCCCAAAAATCCAATCCATTTATCCATTTCTATCAAGAACAATCAAACCCAAAACCCATTAACACTCCACTGAATTTTTGTCAATACAAAGGAAAGAAAAACAAAATCAAAGGAATATCGAAGGCCACATTTGGTCTACTTACTGATTAACTTTATAAATTAATATACACTTAAAAACCTAATGCAATGTTTGTTTGGTACATGTTTTAAATTGATACATTCCAAGTAATGAACGTCATGCTGTAATTGAACCCATAAAATAGATGAACGACGATTCTTGCAAAATTTAAGTTTCATAATGACTAAATTTTGTTAAATTCCATCGCAAATAAAAGAAATATATAATTTCAATGATGAAAATACATTAATACTAAAATGGATCACAGTGGACATATGATTAAAATATATCAATCGATATCTCTTCACAAGATGACGAAGCCGGCAAAAACACGATCTAAGGGATGAATAATAATTTTATATTTGTTAAATCTTTGTAGAGAAAGATATATTTGCATCTAAAAAACTAAACAAAATTGGCCACAATTATCAGCACCAATATTATACATAGTAAGAACAAGAAAACCAATAAACAAAATCCAAATTAATATGATGTAATCAAACGAAGCGGATTCAGATAGCAATCAAAAATCGAGTTTAATATGAAGTTAACAAACAAACTAGATTCAATTTCGCACATCAAGAACATGAACGAATCCAGTGGCGAATCTAAAATAAAATAACACGTGGTTCCTACTTAAGTGAATGCGAAAAAACCAAGTAGTCAATTCTATGTATGACAGATTGGGTCGAGTCGAACCAACAAAAAAACAACCGGTTTGTAAAAGCTCGAGTTCAACCGGACGAATAGAATAGTTAAAAACGGGTAAAATCAGTGTACTTAACACTAAAACCTGATTTTTGCAACAAAAAAATAACTATTTTGCACGACCGAGTCTCTTTTCTTTTTTAAAAGTTCATTTGTAAAACAATTTTGTACTAACAACAATATGAGAAGAGTTGTTTGCTTTTTTTTAATTTCCTAATAACCATTCATAATTTATTTTTATAACATTAAAGAGCTTCAACTCTTTTTTTTATCTTCAATGATAGGTTTTGAAAGTATTAACCATTTGCTTTGAAATGAAAGTATCAATTTTTCATTATTTTTTATTTATTTGTTTTCTTATTTTGTCAAATATTATTAGGCATGTCCTAATTATTTTTAAGATAATTTATATTCTTTTTTCTATTCAAATGTTATATAAATTAAAAAAAATTTTGGTGGATCCTAGGACCCACCTTGCTTGTAAGTGGCTTGGCCTCTGAACCAATCGGGGTTAGAGATAACAACCAGAGAGTTTCTTTGATTCTAAAATTGTAGATATGCCCTATTTTGATTCTAAATTAGTTGCGGCGGATTGACGATAAGAAACAGGGGAAGTTGAATATTCTTCAAGTCGGTTGGGGTGGAGACGATGAGCATGGTCAGTGACTTTGGATTGATAAATAGGGTTTGATAAAAAATAAGGTAACTAACCATAATTATAGGACATAAATATTTTGATTTAAGTAATATAATTATTAATTTAATATTAAGATTACTAAAATACCTTTATTAAGTTTTTGAAATGATTGACCCACATTTATGCATACAATAACATAATAATTAGCTTAAACAAATGAATATATATATATATATATATATATATATATATATATATATAAAGTAAAAAAAAGTATTATTTCATTAGTATTGTTTTGATTAATCTACAAGTCAAATAACCTAAATAAAAATCCATATCGACAACTCCAATTTTGTAATTTTAAATTCATTTGTTTTTCTTGTTATTTTTATTATTGTATTTATTATACAAATTATAATATATTTGAACTTCATTATTTTTTTTAAACTTCATTATGTTTTTTCTAAACTCTTTAGCTTACTAATTTTAAGAAAAAATAATTAAAATGGAGTTTATAGTTTCAACTGAATTTAATTTTTTATATTTTACTGGGTATCCGTGAACCGAACCGTGGTTACTCGCTTTCATACAGTTCGGTTCAGTTCGGTTTTTTTAATAATACGGTTCGGTTTCGATTAGTACGCATGAGATACCCACTCCATAGTCACGATTCATAATTTTATTACTCTCTGAAACTTTGCGAACAAATTCCCGTTCCGGTCCCGCATATGGGATCCAAATACTCACCATTAAAGTATAGTATACTTATATAAGTCATAACCTCTTAGGTATCACATTCTCATCTCTTCCGGTTATCCACTCACCTTCCATCAAAATGGCAGAAACCCCGATCCGAATAGGAATTCTAGGCTGTGCTAACATAGCCCGCAAGGTATCAAGGGCGATGCTCCTCTCCCCTAACACCACCATCTCCGCCATCGGCAGCCGCTCTTTAGAAAAGGCAATTGCTTTCGCATCGGAAAACCACTTCCCTGAATCCACCAAGAAGTACGGCAGCTACGAAGCCGTACTGGACGATCCTGATGTTGACGCCGTTTACGTTCCCTTACCGACCAGCCTCCATTTGCGGTGGGCTGTTCTCGCCGCCGAGAAGAAGAAACACGTTTTGCTGGAGAAGCCGGTGGCACTTGACGTCGGGGAACTGGATAGGATACTGGAGGCTTGTGAATCGAGTGGTGTACAGTTCATGGATGCTACCATGTGGATGCATCATCCACGGACGGCTAAGATGAAGGAGATCCTTTCCGATCCGCACAGATTTGGACAGCTCAAATCGGTATATACATGCTTTTGTCCTATGAGTTATGATATGACACGACACTTGATAACATAAATGGAAAAAAAACAAAAAAAAAAAAAAACTTTTCTTTTAATTTGATTTTGATCGGATATTGATCGTGATAGGTCCATAGCACGTTTTCGTACGTAGGAGAAGGTGATTTCCTACAGAACGATATTCGTGTAAACCCAACTCTCGATTCACTTGGAGTTCTTGGCGATGCTGGTTGGTATAGCATACGAGCCATTTTGTGGGCTTATGATTATGAGCTTCCAAAAACTGTTACTGCGATTGGAGACCCTGAGTACAACGAATCAGGAGTAATCTTGTCATGTGGTGCTTCATTAAACTGGAAAGATAGTGGGAAAGTAGCGACTTTTTACTGTTCGTTTTATACGAATTTAACCATGGACATAACTGTCCTTGGGACTAAAGGAAGCTTACGAGTTCATGACTTTGTTATCCCGTTCAATGAAAACGTGGGTCCTTTCTACGCAGTGGCAAATTCAAGCTGGAAAGAGTTGTCACTTGGATGTGAGCCTGAACCAAGTGAGTTTAAGATCACAACTGTTCTTCCTCAAGAAGCATTAATGGTGCAGGAATTTGGTCGACTAGTTCAGGGGATTAACGGTGGTGACGCTAAACCGGAGAAGAAATGGCCAACGATTAGTAGAAAGACCCAAGCAGTGATTGATGCAGTTGTGGCTTCGATTAAGAATGGTTTCAAGCCCGTTGAAGTTGTCTACTAGGTCATTTGTACATGGCTTTTGTTCTGCTGTCTTCACAGTTGACATATATAATAAATAAAGACCATATTTTGAAATAAAATTGTTGGGTATTATAGAAAAGAATCGTGATTTTTAAAATAATTTTATCTTTGTTCATAGATTTTAAATGTCCTTATATTTATCGATATAGGCATGCTACTAATTTGCAACATTATATAAATTTGCGTCTTAAATCTACACCTGGTAGTGAAGCTAGCCATACGACTTTTTTGGACAATAACACCCACTAGATTTACTTGAGCCTCAAAATTACTTAGGAGTGTCCTCTTACTTGGTTGGAGATTAATTACTATTTTTACCGTTTAAATTACTTGTCTTTCATAAACTAAATCCTAACATTATGTATTGATGTTCCTAGTTTCATTTGAATCAAAAGGAATAAAAATTACTTTTTCTTTACTCAACAAGATTAAATTTAACTGGAGATGTACTTAATCCCCAACAGGAGAGAAATCAGCCGTCGACATTACCTCTCCTTACTTCCTCACAGCAACAGATCATCCCGAACAAAACTTTGTAGGAGCAACCTCCTTATAGTGATTGGCAAAACGAGATGACAAACATAATCTTTGTCAAAAACAAAATAGGTTTTGTTGATGACTCAATTCCCATGCAGAAAGAAGGAACTACCGACTTGATGAACTGGAAATCAAAGATGCAATGCCTTGGTGATCAGAGGATGGCTTGTTGCAACCATGGAAAAAGAAATTAGAAGTAGTGTCATGTATGATGTAACTGCTCGTGATATCTGGCTTGAGCTGGAAGAAAATTTTGGAAAAAAAGAAAAAACGCACCAAGAGCATATGAATTAAGAAGAAAGGTCACAGTGATTCGTCAAGGGTACATGTTGATTTCATAGATACTATACGAAACCGAGGGAAGTTTGTGATGAAATTCAATCAATCACTCCAACACCATTATGTACATGTTGTGGATGTACCTATGATATGTAATAAAAGAGATTGCCAAGATGTGCGAAAAAGAAAACTTTATGACTTTCTAAAGGGCTTAAACGAAGAATATTGAGTTGTTAAAATGTAGATTTTGAGCACTAGTCCCCGGCCAACACTTGGAAACGCTTACCACCTTGGCACCTTGTCAGTCAAGATGAACAACAATCTCGAGCATCAGTTGTTTGTGAGGATGCACGAATGACGACCCTCACAAAGGATGAATAAGATAATGCTCTTCAATTAAATTTAGAAACTAAAGTCATTATCCACACCCCAACATGCCTTGTAAGACTACTAGACATGATTTTTAGGTAATCGATTCAAGTGCTAGCAATCACATTACACATCATAATGAATGGTTGAAATCAAGAAAAGATAATAAGGACAAAAAATTCCTTACAATACTAAACGGAGACTCCACTATATATAGTAAAAGGTGTTGGTAATATTCATCTATCAGATGGCATTTAGTTTAAAGAATATGTTGAGTGTGCCAGACTTTAAAGAATAATACATGTTGATGTTTGGGATTTTACCAACATGCCTCTCTTGATGGTGCACACTATTTCTTGTCTATTGGTAATGATCACAGTCGAGGGTGCATGGTGTGGGTATACTACATGAAAAACAAATCATAAGCATCTTATTTCCTTATAATTCTTTGCAAATTAAATGATAGATACACAATTTCGCAGAAAAAGAATAAGAAGCAATACTAGTTTGAAATTCAAGTCATGATACATGATGGAATTCTACAAGGAACAATTTATTTTGTTAGAAACATCATGCCTATGCACACCGCAATAAAAAGGACTAGTGGGAATAGAAGATCGACACTTGTTCGAGATAGGGAGAACCTTAAGGTTTCAAGCTTTGTTACCTATTGAATTTTGGGAGATTGCATACTAACTTTAACATATAATATAAACAAACTACCAACCGATATCCTTGAAAACAAAACACCTCATGAAATACTATTAATAAACACTCTTATATGAGCATATAGGATGTGTTTGGTTGTCTTTCCCATGCAAGGAAAACTTTGTATTTTCCTAGATATTTGATCGGTTAAAAGGGTTAGAAGCTTTATGATTTAAATAATAAAAAAAACATATAAATCACGAAATATGACTTTCATAGACAACGTTTTCATTTAGAGAAATCTACAGAAAAATCTCAAACTTTTAGGAAAAGCTTTAAAAAAGTTTTTTTTTTTTTAAAATTTTTTTTTACAGAAATATTCAATTATTTTGAGAAAATCATATAGTCAATCATTTGCTATTCAATTATAAAAAATGGATGTTTCGTTAATTTGGACAAAATGTTAAATAAACGAGACTTTTTTGGTAAAAAAAAACTTTTAGAACTTTATTGAAATTTTTTAAAAAAGTTTTGGACTTTTCTGTAGATTTCCCATTCATTTATGGGGGAAGTTATAAAGGACATAAGATATCAGAAAGGGGACATTTGGTTGATACATTAAAAAATATTGAACAAGTCATTGACAATGTGTAACGCTTGGTTCCTGGTATGTATTTAAACTTCCAAATTAGTCAAAGCAATTTGACGAGTTGGTAGCCCCAAATCATCGTGTTGAAATGTTATGGATCGTGTGTTTTAAGTGACCAACTCGACGAGTTGGGAGGCCTCAACTCGACGAGTTGTCTGGAAGAAATGAAACCTTAATTTTGGGGTTTTGCACCATATTTAAACAACTTAAGCCCCATAAGTTGGCCTCATTTCCAGCCTCCACTATCCTAAACTCTAAGGCATCTTTGAGTGATTGTGAGCCATTTTTTGAGTTTGTTGTGTGTGATTGAAGCCATTGGAAGAAAGGAGTGCTTGGAGATAGAGGAAGGAGCTGCTAGATCCAGAACCCTTGTTTCATTTTCGACATCTTTCTGGTAAAAAGTCTTAACCTTGCTTTGTGGTTACTTGGATCTTCATCTTAGTGTTCTTTTGCTTGTTTTTGTCCAAATGAAATGGTCTTTGGGACTTGGACATCCCATATGGACAAACCCTTTCAGATCTAGGGTCTTAAGGAGCTTTTATGGCATAAATGTGCTAACTTTATGGCCCTAAGAGCTCTATGCACCTTCTAAGCCCTTGTTTTGGCCTCTTAAGCTTCATTTTGGCCATGCAAATGAGTAAATTTGAAGACTTTATGTGACCTTTTAGCCTTTAAGGTCCAAATTTGTGTTCATGAGCTCTATCTTGAAGGTATGGTGGTTTTTGGATTAAGTCATAAGCCTTTTAGGATTAGGGTTTAAGCTTAATGCCTATGGGGTGATTCTTCATGGGTAAAGTTGGAAACTTTACCCTCCTAGATGCATTATCATTCCAGATCTGGAAGATAGGGATTCGTTTTGAAGAATAGTGGCTTAATGAATTAAGTGGGTTGGTTGATCGAAGAACTCGACGAGTTGTTAAGGGAACTCGACGAGTGTAACATCCTGTTTCGGATCGTCCGTGATTAGGGTTCGTGGGATGCAACCCGGGCATGAGGAAGCCTCGGGGCTGCGATGAGTTCCTAGAAGCATAGGGCTTCTTGTCACCTTTCTGTGGATAAGAGGTTCATTGGAAAGAGAGTTATATCGAGGAAACTACAGAAGTTTGAAGCTTTGGCACCATAAGTATATTATTTGTGAAAGGTGGTCGCTGAGTACGCTAGGCGTACGTGTGTGTACGCTTAGCGTACTCATGTGCGTGGCTTTTAAGCGGAGCCACCTAGTACGTTGGGTGTACTAGGCACATAGTGAATACCCTAAATGAGGGGGTGTCCCTATATAAAGAATATGATGGTCTTATTCCTGGCCACCATCTTCAGACAATCAACCCTCTCAAACCCTAAATACTCGTCCATTGAGCCTGTGTTGTCCATTTGTGAGATAATGAGTGATCTTGTGTTTCTTTGGAGTGAAGAAGGAGCCTTGAAGAAGAAGGAGTGGGGTTCCAGGATTTGGATATGAGCTTATTTGAGTTGGAAGCTTCATGTTGAGGTATAAAGCTCAAAGCTTTCTGACACTTTTGATTTGTGCATCATTTTAGTGTATTTTAGGGTTTTAGTCCCAAAGTTAGAGACTTTATGAGATATTGAGTTCCAGAGTTTTTTTATCAGCCGCTTTGAGTATCTTAAGTGGTGTAGAGTCATAAAAATTGAGACTTGGATGTTTGAATCAACCCATGCATGAGATATGAGCATTTTGAGATAAGAGAATGAGAGTTTTGGGTGTTTGTGACTTTACCAGCCATGCGAAGGCTTAAAGTCAAAGACTTTATGGAGTAAGAGCCTCTAGGGAGTCTAGATCTGTGATATGAGCTAAGGTCTTAACGGGTTAAGACCAAGAAAGTGAGAAAAGCCATACTGAACGTACGCCGAGCGTTATCCTAGTACGCCACACGTACTGGGTTGGTGTCCCCGATCAGCTTTTGTGCATGCGTGTGTACACTGAGCGTATCAAGGGAGGTACGCCCCACGTAACCTCATTGTGGGCTTTTGGGGCTAAATCTTATATTTGGCCTTAAGGGTTGGGCCTGGATCTTTGGGCTTGTGTACTAGAGATTTTGAGCAGAGAAATATTATATATATATATATATATATATATATATATATATATATATATATATATATATGCCTTGGGCTCTTGTGTTGGGCTTGTCACTTGGACTTGAGAGTTGGGCCTCGGGAGAGCCCATTCATTATTGGGCCTTGGTGGGCCCAATGAGTTTTAGGTTATTGATGGGCTAGTTAGTGGACTACCTTTAGACCTAAAGAGTGAGGATTTGGACTTAGATCTTAATTGGGTAATTGTGGATTTTGGTCCCGTGTTAGAGGTCGGTGCAGCAATAGCATCTATATGAGTTGTTCATCATCCGAGGTGAGTCTTCTCACTATACTTACCTAGTGTGGTAACCTTTGTGTGAACGGAGGGTCTTATGTGCTTATATTAAGTATTTTGATATCTTACATTATGCTTTGTGATTTATGTTGTGTATTATTTTGAGCTTACTGAGTTAAGATCAGAGGGTCCACCCGAGTTGTGGGACCGGAGGTCCCACTGAGACACATTGACTGGAGGGTCTAATCTAAGTATAGCCGTGAGAGGCTTATGAGATATGTGTGGTATTTTGGGGAACTCACTAAGCCTTGTGCTTACCGTGTTATATGATATGTGTTTCAGGTTCTTCTCAGGATCGCGGGAAGGCGTCGACATGATTGTACACACCAGAGAAAGAGTTATGTTTTGAGGATCCTGGATTATTAATTAAACAATTTTGGAGTTGCGTTTTGTAAATTAAATAAATGGGATTTTTATGAAATGTGTTATGAGAAT